GCACACGTGTACAAGATGTAAAAAAAGTTATGACGACGCTCTTTGTTCGCAAAAACTGTTTTTTCAACCCCTCACCCCTATACAACCACCCTTATGCGTTGCCGTAGGGGGTTGAAATTTTACATTTGACATTTTGGGGGGTGTAGAGCCTGTATATTCATTTTGGAACATATCTGATCATCCCTACCATCGTAGACCCAAGAGCCCTAATCTAACCCATATAACACTTCAAAAAATCGAAAAAAAATTATTAATTGATTTAAGAGGTAATTTCTAATCGCTAACAGCGAGAGGCTAGAAAGCGTACCCTGCAACGAGACTGCGTACTCTGACGTCAGTAGCGCGCTGTGTATAGTTTCTTATAATAAATGAATGAACAATAGTACAAGAGATACGTGATCGTCACCGCTAACCAAAAGATGAAAATTCAATTTTTTTCACATTAGTTATTACATGACTTTACGCCGGTTTAGTGCTCCGCAATTCTACGTTTCAAGTAACGTTGGGCACTATTTAACTAAAATTTTATGATTTTATTTAGCGGTAGGTATTACCTACTAGTACTTTTATTACATCATACATATAGTCATTTGTTGTAAGGGATCGTCTGCTATGCCTGATTACGAAGGACAAGTAAAACTTGTATTACGGTTTCGACGTATGTTTTGAAACGTCATGTTGTACCTAAACCTATATATGTCTATGAAACCTGTTAGCATTTGTAGTTTATATAGTTAAACTGACCTAAAAATTGTCCATGAGTAAATGCCAATAAACAGTCCAAACGGTGGTGGTGAAATGCTGGTGGTTACGTTACATCGCTCTAATTGGAGGGTGTTGCTTGCTGAAAAGTTGTCTTGGGTACTTCTTGTTCTTCCCTGTCAGTTTTTTTAAAGACCTGCCGTCAAGAAAGTGGCAAAGGGTGCAAAAATACAACAGCAACGGCACCCGATAAAATATTTGTAACGCCGTTCCCAAAGGACCTATTTTTTTGTTTTAGAAACTATTGGAAAAGATGCGGGTTTTGTTTTTCCAATTTTCCGTCATTATATGAACAAAATTGAAAACTAATACGGTTGATTGGCGCAACAAAATTTTTTCTACAAAAAACTTAATACGTTTTTGCTCTAAAATAATTTGGAGACAGCAGAATTTATTTGGCACCTGTTAAAAACAATCGAGTGTACTGTGAAGTATAATAGAAAAATACTTCGCTTCTTTCACTTGCTTTAAGAGTAATATTACACGGAATAATCTTCGCATCTTAGGAATCTTGGAAACTGCTCGTCACACAATTTTGCCCCGCTAACAGCTCCAGGATCGTCCACACAATTTGTTTCGTCGTAATTGAGTACATTAGACGGCGAATGTCGTTAGGGGTTTTCGCAAGTATTCGAAATATGCCGCAATTGCTGAACCGCATGTCGATTGGTTTTAGCGGGATACCCCACTCGGCACACAGCTGAAAACCATCAAAAAACACTTTTTGTTTCATATGTCAATGCTGGTTATCCCCGTAGATTTTAGAATGTCTATATTTACGCGGTGGTTCAAAGTTGTGTAGGGGACTCCATATTGTTCAGACGCTTTTCTAGTGCATTTTTTTCGCCTTCACAGCTGTTACAGCCCTCTTCATATAATCGGAGTTGTAGTTTTTCTTCCCATAAGCTCCTAATTTCTTAGTATATGTGCGAGTCATCTGGAACAAATAGTAAATATAACCTAAAAAGGTTCGTCCATTTCACCCCGATATTTGTCTTCAATAAGTAAAATTTTATTTTTAAATGAAGAAATGGACAAATATTTAGTTTTTTATGTACAACGCATTCTTAAGACATTACTTCGATCTAGACAGCCGGGAAAATGATAGATTCAAAGCTTATGTCTGCGTAAACAAACGAATATACATATTTCACAATAGCATATATATGCAGGTATTATATATACCAACAGTATATACAGAGCGTATATATATATATATATATATTTCTGCAGAGCTGGTTCGAGACGGGTTCACAAAGAAAACACACATGGAGCACTATGCGTGAACTACTGTAGCTTACCGTTCCTACTGAAGGATGTGTTTCTCTTCTTCGTTGGTGGTAAATTGTTTTGGGATAGGTTTATTTCGGGTTGCGCCTTGCGTGCCTTGTGTTGGTATTTCGTGTAGCCCCCCTTCCAGTTCACGTGTTGCCTTTTCCAAGCCAATAAGCGTTTTTGAAAAGCCAACGCACACCCGATCGGATATTTAACTGAACCGAAATTACCTTCCAAACACCCTCCCGCTCCCACTCCGTATCAAACGACGAGTTGGATTTCGGTGCAGTCGTCGCACTGCGTGAAGGTGAGGAAGTAATCTGGTTTACGATCCGCGAAAACCCAAGTGCCTCCAGCCATTGTCGAAGATGCTGAGCCGCGTAACTTTACGAATCCATTGCTCATCTCCTAAATTACGTTTTGGATTTGTCACTAGGTTAATAAAATGTTCATTCTTAACGTCATTCTGCCCCTCCAACCGTCGTACCCGCAATACATATTTACATTTAAGGGATTGAGAATATGCATATAACGTTTCCAAATTTGAATGCAAAAATTTATAAAAGACTGCTTCGCCGTCTAAAAGAATACCGCAATAAACAAAGCCTTTTTGAAGTGATCTACGTCACTTGTTTTACTTGCGATTTCCTTGTAAACAGCTTCTGTCGCTTCCATTTTCAATTTCACTTAAGCCGTTACAGAGTTCCCTAAATTTTTGACGCAAATTGTCCGAACTTGCAGAATAATTCACATGTGAAACAGTTTTTCATACATCAATTCAACATAGCCGCTTTTACCCTTCTCTCGTTATAGTTCACAGCAAAGCACTCCGACTCAAGTAATCGCTTCTTTTTGCTTCATTAAATTCAAGGGTTTTACACTCCGATTTTGGTGTGAACGTACGTAATTTGAATGGTGCGCATTTCGGTAGGAAAAAGATCTCTTAATGCTTTCGCGAAATTTTTAATTTCTCAACGACGCGACGATCGCGTAAATTATTCGCGCACTGGATTAAAATTTTCGATAATTGTGGGGTCAATTTGAAAGTCTTCTTTATATAAATAAAATTTCTAATTTTGTTAGTTGTTATTTCTTAATGATCGGTTATACGATGGTTTTAAATACTTCACATTTTAAACTGTTTGTCATTATCACACATACAAAATAGATAATAAAGTATGTAGTACAATAAATGTGGTATACCAGACACTAATTTGAAATACCACTTAGTTTTACTTATGAAATACAATTTATACAAACATTTGTGTCATTCTAGAAAATATACCTTAAGGCCGTCTGACACGATGCTAAATTTTTGGTAAAATTTGTGAATAGAATTTTATCATAAAAAATTTACTTCCATAATTTATTTAACAAAATTATATTGTCTGACACTGTACAAAATTTATCATAAAAATTAGTAAGTGCGTCTGCGCTTTGCATTTTTTTTCTAGGGAATATGGGTTTTTAAGTCAATAAATCTGGTAGTGGTACACCTACACATATAAATAACAAAAATAACATAACCTCTTCTAGTATTTACTTTTTTGATTTTTCATTATTTCATATTATTATCTATTGTGCTACTACTGGTAATTGTAATGAACCGAAATCTAATCGCTAGCTCGGCACTTGCCGCAAGTGTCATTGTCATTATGTCTTGTCTTCTAACAAAAAGGCGTAATAAACGTACTCGAATTTGGAGCAGGAACTGGCTGCAAAGGCGAAACGAGGGTCGTGATGTTTTAAACATGCTAAATACAGAACTTTTACCCGAGGATCCAAATGCATATACAAACTTTCTGAGATTAACTAACGATCAGTTCGAATATTTGCTGTCGTTGATATCAAATGAAATATGCAAACAAGATACACTAATGCGAGAATGCATCCCTTCCAGAAGCAAGTAGGTGATTAAAAAATTAATCATAGGCACTCACTTGTGCTATCATTTTAGATTAGAAGTTACCTTGCGATTCCTAGCAACAGGCGAGACATACCGATCCCTTATGTACACCACTAGGATACATGAAACTACGATAAGCCGCTTTATACCTGAAGGTGCCAAGCCATAGTCTTGAAATTAAAACCAATCTATTTAAAAGTAAGTTATAGTCCGTATATTATACTGTCAATTTTTACGATATGAAACCTGGTATAGGCACCAAGAACAGCAGAAGAATGGAAAAAAATTTCTCAAGATTTTGATCAATTATGGCAATTTCCTCATTGCGTGGGAGCTCTTGATGGTCGCCACATCACTTTTAGGGCACCCATATCTGCTGGCTCGTATTATTACAACTACAAAGGTGCAAATAGCATTGTGTTATTAGCATTAGCCGCTGCCAACTACAAGTTCATTTACGCAAATATAGGTGTCAATGGACGAATTAGTGATGGGGGTGTTTTTCAGAATAGTAGCTTGTCAAGGGCACTACAAGACAATTCTTTGAGTCTACCAGCCCCAGAGGTATTACCAGGAATGACAGAAGCTTTACCGTATGTTATTGTTGCCGATGATGCCTTTCCGCTGTCAAAGAACCTATTGAAACCCTATCCAGATCGTGGACTCGGCAATGATAGCAGAATTTTTAATTATCGGTTATCCCGTGCTCGGAGAATAATAGAGAATTCCTTTGGAATTCTTGCAAACCGATTTCGTCTTCTGTTAAATCCAGTTAATTTAGATGCAGAAAAAGTAGAGTTGATTACACTCACTTGTGTAGTGTTACACAATTTTCTCGCAACAGACAATGCACAATCATATATTGAACTTGAAGAATTTAATGAAAACTTGCCGAAAATAAATCGACAGTGTGGTAACCGGACATCTATTGCAGCAAGAGATATTCCTGATCATTTTAGAAGTTATTTTAATTCTTCACAAGGTTCGGTGCCCTGGCAACAAAATGCAATAAACAATTTTAATTTGTGAAATTCGTTTTTATTTTACATATGCCTATTATTAACAATAAATACTACAAATTGTTACATTTTTTTAGGGCATCAAACAGTGTGTGTACAATTTTTTCTTCTGTCTGCAAACGAATGGATGTATCAGTAATTCGTTTTAACTTCGACACTATAAATTGAGCCAATGCCTCATCTTCATCTACGTTTTGTACAAAACTTTGCTGCATTGTTGATGAAATTGATGCTAAGGCACTAGATGCTTCACGCATTACATTATCTTCAATTGTTTCTCGTTTTCTTTTCTTTTGAAATTGCAGTCGTTTTGATGGAGTAGCACCATCTACGTCTTTTACCGGTGAAATAGGACGAGAAAGATTTGGTGAATTCAATTGGGAGTCGCGAACTTGACTCGATCCCGTGTCCAATGTATTAGTAATATCGTTGAGACTACCATCTTCTGTCACATAGTACTCTGATGTTACTATCTCCTCGTCGCCTACCTGCGGTGTGTCATCTTCTGCGATTAAGCTATCCACGGCCTGCCGCACTTCGACATGTTCTAACAAAAAGAACATTCGGTTGAAATACCAAATTGTTGGTTTGTAAATCTGCAGGAAAAATGTATAGTTAGTCAATAAATTAGATAATATTGAAGGTTTTGCTTACCCCGTCACCATCTTCATCACCTGCTCCACTACGGCGGCTGCGATTCCACTTCTTGTATTCTGTGAGAAAATTATTCTTCAGTCCGTTAAATTTTAACTTGATATCGTTGATGGTAACAGACGGCTTAAGGGGTTGCAAGACTGCTTGAATTTGCTGTAAAGCATTCTGTCTAGAATGTTTATTTTTATACTGTGCAGATTTTACTGCATATAAACAGGAATGTCTTTGATATTCATCTATCAGCACTTCACATTGCTCCCGCGACCATGACATTGTGCAAATTCGTAATTTAGCACTAAATAAACCGCTCTCGTTCTTTCGCAAAAACGCCCAAAATGAGAATAATTGAAATTAAATTAGATAGGTTATGTGATATGTCACCTACGAAACGCCGAACCGCGTGCGCATCACGTACGCGCACATTTTATAACAAATTTATGCATTTTTTAGAACAGGATCTAAAAAATTTTATACAAACAAATTTTGTAACAAATTTTTGTACAAAATACGTATGACACTATGCAAAATTTTGTATGAAAATTAATCTGCAAAATTTTGTACAAAATTTAGCATAGTGTCAGACGGCCTTTAAAGATACATTTTTAGGTTCAGCGGAAGTATACAAAAGCAGATGGTTTGCGTATGATGCTCTGGCCTTTCTGAATGAAAGAAACCAACCGCGAAAACGATCTAATACCGTAAGTACCTACTATTTATATTTTACGCATATAGATTTTGCCATGAAACTTTCCCTTCGTTAATAAAATAATCCCCTAGCTCATGTCGAATATGATCGAGGGCAAGTGATGTTCTTCTGGGCACGTTTTTAAGTGAAGTCATTGATCTGCCTTCATTATCGTTCCTCCATGTTCCAGGGGTAACATTTCCGTCTATTTCTTTATCTAAGGATCCCGGAGGAGTATAAATATTGCGTGCGTTCCTCCTTAAATAATTGTGGAGGTAAGCAATAGTCATTACTACTAGTTCGACCTTTTCTGGTTCCAAAACGATTGGTTTTCTTAAAATACGAAATACAGATGATGTTATACCGAATACGTTCTCAACTACCCTACGCGCCCTACTTAAGCGGTAATTGAAGATTCTTTTCAAAGTACCAGCCGCATGTTCTCCAGAAAAAGGCTTTAACAAATTTTCTGACAATGCAAATGCGGAATCGCCCAAAAAGAAGTATGGCAAAGCTTTTACTCGTCCAGGTAGTGGTGTGGGTTCTGGTAAAAATAAATCTCCTCTCTCTTCATTTTTTTACCCAATACGCTATCTTTAAACACTCCTCCATCTGATATCCTTCCCTGGCAACCCGTGTCAATAAATAAAAAATTGTAATCGGCATCGACTAGCGCGAACAACACGATGCTAAATGTTTGCTTATAATTGAAAAATTCGCTTCCAGAATTGAATGGGGCTTGAATTACCACATGTTTGCCGTCCATACTACCCAAACAATGCGGAAAATTCCACTGAGATTCATATTCTTCTGCTATTTTTATCCATTCATTAGGAGAATCGGGCAACTGAAATAAAAAAAGGTATGGTTAAGTTCTGTATCGTTAACACATTTTTAATTGCAGGTCATTGATGATGAAAAAAACGTAAACGAAACATCGGCGGAGGGAAAGGTCGATCAAGCAGAACCACGTTCTGCACCAATACCACCCAAGAAGAAACGACCCACCGACCAAAAACTGGACTTATTGAAGCAATCATACGGAATATTAAAAGCGGCCTCAGACAACGTTAATTCACTTTCTAATCAAATGAGTATTCAGAATGAAGAGGTTCGGTATTTTTGTGGATTCATTGGAAATAAAATGTCTAAATATTCAGACATAACTAGAGCTTCAGTTCAACATGCAATTCACAATATCATTTTTCAAGCTGACCGTGGGTTCTATGAGGCCACCTATACCGGAAACATGCACTACATGGGACCATCTACATCAACTACTTCATTTGCACAACACATACCAAATACATATTCGAATAACACGAATTCATTCTTTAATCAACTACAGTCAGGACAAATTCCCGGGCAGCATTCTTCCACACTTCCGACACCGACAGCTGAAGTCCCCACACCATCTCCATGTTCATCTTCAGTACATTCATACACTCAGATCTCTGAAGAAACATCACAATCTGAAGAACCTCAGTTTGAAGATTTACTCTAATGCATAACTGATAAATTCAAATAGATTTGTAATTTAACATGAAATACAGTTTTGGTACTTACTTTTATTTCATGTCTTAAACCTTGTGTTAACGCAGCACAGACTTCAGGAACAATTCGACTTATCGCTTGTTTCGATATTCTGAATAAATATTGCAGACTGGAGTAGGAGTCTCCACTTGCTAAGAAACGTAGGGTCACAGCTAACCTATCCTGCACAGATATCGCCTTTCTGAAACGCGTATCTTTCTTTGCTATTTGTGGGCCAATTAATTGAATCAAATATTCAAAGTCTGAACTAGACATGCGAATGAAATTTTTATATTGACCGCTTAACTCCTGGGATTTAAGATCTAACATCAAAGTAGCTCCACATCGTTTTTTATATATGTCTGTTCTCCACCATCTTCGCGATTTTTTATCAGTCACTAATTCTTGCATTATAATGAAAGCACCCCACATGCTAAGGTAAAATGTTGTAACGTCTCAAGAAGTTGAGCGTCCATGTTCACGCACGAGCATACACTGCAACAGTGCAACAGCTGTGGAAACGATATTTACATGAGTTCGCGCCAAATTGTTGCACTACAAAACAAATTTCGTCCACATTGCATTACATGTTGCATTACACGTTGCATTACACGTTGCAGCGTAGATGTGTACACGGCTTTACAAAAACCCCTCGACACCAACTGCAACCCCTAGTAGATCAACGAACACGATCTTTCAAAAAGAAAATTGACTACACAGTAATTGACCTGCACATAGAATCGTTTCAACCGTGTATTTCTCATTATAGGTAAGTTTTCTAAAATTTTTTGGGTAAGCAACACAGGGCCGAGCCGTGCCGGGGGTGCATTGCACCCGGGCGGCACTAAGTCGGGGCGGCAAACAGCAAAATCTCTGTTTATATTTGATTTTAAAAGAAACATCACCAATACCGACAAATTGTGCATTATGCCCGGGGCTGGTAAAGCGGCAATCCGGCTCCAGCGACCGGCATAACAAAGATGCAGGTATACGTTAATACGTTAAATACGTATACAAAGACAAAAGCAGAGCGAGGCAGAAAATCTTATCTGGGTGTAGAATGACTCGACTCGTACAGTCGTACATACGCCGTCAGCACTCAGCAGCTTATATTGCTTATCATATCGCCTTGCCGCTTGCACTTATTTTCAAATTTCACTTGTCAGCATACATGCGAGATGTTTTTATTTTACCAATTGTGATGAAGGAACGCCGCCCCTGATGTACGAAGAGGGTACGCCACTGGAAGGACGAGCCGGAGCCGGAAACAGGGACGAGAGAATGACAGGCAGAGAATAAAATGGCCGACGAGAGGAGTTGAATTATTTTTATTTTAGTTTTGACGTTGAAAGTGTATTCGTACCAATAAAGATGTTGTAAAACGAAATGTTGTTTATGACACAATTACGATTTTACCTGCTGGCCGCTGGCGCGCTGCTAACCTATGGTCAGGTCGTTATTCACTTATTCAGTTTGCCTTAGTCTGTTTATGCGATCAAGTTAAAAACAAAAACTAAAAGTAAAGGTTGCGAATTATTGCCTAGTCTTTTTCTCTATTTAATTTGTTTTTATTCTATCAATATCAATTTAATTAACTGTTGTGATTGTCAATGTAAAAGGAAAAGGTAAGTTTTAATTCAATATTTTAATAATAATTAATAAGTACATAATATGTATGTAATATTATTATTATTATTATGTGTCCGAGTCCGTAATCGGTAATCCTTACATTTATTGGTATAAAAAATTATTATTTTACATTTTTATCAAAATTGTTAAAAATAGTTTAATAATTTAGATGGCTGATGGTCGAAAAAGGCTTTCTGGTTCACAATACCGTAAAAGGAAGCTAGAAATAGAAGAAGATAAAAAACGATTAGCTGGATCATTAAAACAGTTTTTTGTGTCCCCGAGGCCGAGGAATAACAACGAACCACAACCTGGTAGTAGCCAAGATCGAGACCCAGATGATGTTCATGACACGTTGGAGGAGCTTGAGCTGGATCACTCTACGATGACGATGAGTACGCTAACGCCACTCACGCCACCAACTGCACAAACCGCAGATAGTGAGAGTGGAGAAGCAATAAAAGATCTTAAAGATCCAGCTTCTTGGCCGCAGGTATTAACAGATGCTATTAGGACATCAATTCTAGACATAGGACCAATACAACTAAAAGATATTGTATATCCAATTAATAATTTCAATAGATCCTTTAGCGCTACTTACTTTGAAAAAAAATTACGGAATAATGAAAAAGTTGCTAGAACTTGGCTTGTTTATTCTAAAACCAAAAACTCTGTATACTGTTTTTGTTGCAAATTATTTAAAGTATCTGTTAATAGTTTTAACGATAATAATGGTTACAGTGACTGGCAGCATTTGTCTCAGACTTTAGAAAGACATGAAATAAGTAAAGGGCATTTTGAGAGTGTTAGAAAATGGGTCGAGTTAAAAAAATCAATAGAAAAAGGATGTCGACTCTTTTAATCAAAATTTAATTCAAATGGAAAAAAAAAGATGGACTTTTATTTTAGAAAGAATAATAGCTATTATTCAGTTTTTGGCAGGACAAAATTTAGCTTTTAGGGGCAATACTCAAACACTTTTTGAAAAAGGTAACGGCAATTTCTTGAAGCTTATTGAGACAATTGCAAAATTTGATAACGTAATGGCCGAACATATTAATAGGGTTCAAAATGATAACAAAAACATGCCACATTACTTAGGCGATAAAATTCAAAATGAATTAATTTTCCTAATAGGAGAAAAAGTAAAATCAAATATTATTGAAACCTTAAAAATGTGCAAATATTTTTCAATTAGGGTGAAGTGGGGTAAGTGCGTTTTTGGGGCAAGTGCGTCTTTGCATTTTATTTGGGGTGTATATTTAAATATCATGTTTGATATATTACATTATGTTTCTTTTGACACTTGGCAACGTTGGACACGCCAAAGAACTTTTATAGCTAACTTCATACCAATTGCGTGTTTCCGCGAATGATCAACAGCTGATTGTACTGCGTTGCAAAACGTGTTTTGTTGTGATTTTACTGAATTTATTTCAACACAAGCGGTAAGTAAAATATTTCTGCTTGTTTTCTTACATCATTGTGCATCAATTAATCGATTTTTCCCAATTTGGTTTTATATTATAAAAACCATAATCTATAAGACGTGTGGGTGCACTTGCCCCTCATTTTCTGAAGAAAGGGAAACAGGAAACTGCACCTACTGAGGTAGGGGAAAGTGCACCGCACAAATTGAGGCAAGTGCACCTAGGGGTGCACTTTCTCCGCTGGTGCATTTGCCCCTTACATATTGATTTAATTAATTTAATTACCTAAAACAATTTTTAGGTCATGGTGAGGACATATCAAAGAAAAACAGACAAGGCTAGTTATTCTAAGGACGACTTACAAAAAGCTCTAACAGCGATAAATGCCGGTGAATGTGGCACTTTGCGTGCCAGTAAAATATATAAAATACCCAGAAGTACGATAAGAGATCATTTAAAGGGTAGACGCGGTGTAAAAAGCAAAACCATGGGAAGACCCACAGCTCTCACTCATAAAGACGAGGAAACTCTGGTAAAATATATAAAGTATGCTTTTATTAGTCTGTGTCATGACGAAGTAATTGGTGATATTTAATTGTAGGTGCATGGAAAAATGGGGCTTCGGTTCGGCATCAGTAGAAAGGAGCTCTTGGAGATTGTCGGTCAATATATTGCAAAAAATAAGATTTCTACTCCATTTAAAAATAATGTGCCAAGTGGAGATTGGTTCCTAGAGTTCAAAAAGAGGCACAATTTGTCAATTAAAAAGCCAGAAATTGTGAAATACGCTAGAAAAAAGAATACTGACCCATTTGTAATTAGTGAATATTTTCAATTATTGGAAAAGACTTTAAATGATTTGAAATTGATTGATGCTCCGGCAAAGATTTGGAATATGGACGAAACAAGTTTTTGCACTGATCCATCGAGAACGAAGGTTGTAGGAGTGAAAGGTGTATCGTCAACAAGAATAACGGCTGGCTCAGGGCGTAACAATACAACAGTTTTATTTGCGGCTTCGGCCAGCGGAGAGAAGGCACCACCCCTCATTGTGTATAAAGGGAAAAATGTCTGGGATACATGGATCGCTGAAGATGGAAAAGGATATCCTGGAACTGCATATGCAGCAAGTGTAAATGGGTGGATGGAAACAACCATCTTTAGAAATTACTTTTTAAAAAATTTTATTCCCAATCTCGGTGATAGTAGACCTGTGTTTGTGGTGTATGATGGGCATTCAACCCATAATAAAATTATGTTAAAACTGGTTTTTCAAAGTTACCAAAAAACAAATTATACTAAATATATTGGACATAATGGGTAACATTGAAATTTGCACTGGTTTTGCTAAAATTTGGTAGCTTTTTATTCGTCTGATGGAGCGCTCTACAGTAATACGACACTTTGCAATTTTCTTTGTTAGTATTTCTTCTTCCGCTGTTAATCTTGTCCTGCCAGCCAGGAAAGGTGGAATGATTAATTTATATTTGTGCTCATCACAAATGTCTTGAATGGTAAAACTACGATCAGCCATAAGCACATCGTCTTCTTCCAAAAATACAGAAATGTCTGACGACTTAAATAGTTCGATGTCCGAAATGGACCCCTCGTAACCCTCACTGTTGTATACAACTGCCCCTCTTGAAGATACTCCCACTAAAAACTTGATCGTATTGTAGTGCTTGTAGCTGGAATGGGTGTTTCCTTGTTGCTGAAAATTTTTGGACATCTGCATCCGGACTTCAGTGGTATCCAGAACTACGGTCACTTTGTCATTAAGTAGGCGAAAACAAGCAGGCATGTGTCTTATATCAGTGGCACGAGCACCTTTCATGAAAGCATTGCGCAGAACACACGTTTGTAAATAAACAAATTGCACTCACGTATAAAATATTGCCGACACTTGGGTGA